TTTCGACAAGAAGAATCTCTGGGCAGTTCTTCCCTAGCCCTACGTTTCTTGTTGTGGGGAAGGTCATCTGGCTCAAACCCTTTGCTCTCTTCCACTCCTCCATATTTTCCTGCTCCATGAACGTCTTCGTCCTCCTTTCTTCCCTTTCCCTATCCTTCGTCTTCGTCACTCCCAAAATAATTACCCTCACTACTATCGTTGTCACGAAAGTTGTTAGAGGTTCGTATCTCACAACCCTGTGACCAAAGGATGCGATGTTGAGCTGTCTGAACCTAGGACTCGAGGACTCGATGCCGGCGCGGACCTGGAGGTTTGACAAGAACGCCGGGATGCCTTCGTGGTCGATCTCGATCCTTCTGCCCGCGGATCCCCAGCAGAGAATCGCTCGCCAGGCGTCATCCGCCTCTGAAACTACTAGCTGCCTGCGACCACCGCCCTCGACGTCAATGAATGTTTTTTTTCAAGCATCTGCGTCTCTCGGGCGGACCAAACCGCGCCGCTAAGTCCTTGTTGCCCAGGATTGAAAGTTTTCCAGTGAAGGATCACCGCCGGCGGGATGCGAATTGAACCATCTATATCCCGGTGCACGGGACGTGGCCGAGATACGAACCCTGTATCCTGTTCCGAAGACCGCCTGTCGACGGTACATGGCCCTTTGTAGCGCCACCCAGTACTCCTGTTTGTTAGGGGGGCGACTTGATCCACCTGCTCTACGTAGCACCATCTGTATCGTGGTTGTTGATGAGGTGATGACCCAGTCGTCGATGCTGCAAGCCTTTTTCTGAGGTGGTGCAACATTTCTCTCTCTTTTACCGAAAGCAGTTAATTATGGTAAGAACACAATATATATATATATATATGCAGACTGGGGGGAATCGTCAACCACGGTATTTATTTCTAGTGAGTGTGAACCACGGTATTTATTAACCCTAACCCTAACCACGGTAAACCGTCTCCGAATCCTGTTAGTATGAAAAGCTTTCAGGCAAACTAAGGCCCTCTCGTCGTCAAAATTCCCCCGGCAAAATGCTTCGTGCGCCAAGTGGTTGGCGATAGCGACGATGAGTCGATTGGTGCCTTTGCCAAGACAACCATTCGTTGCAAAAGCAGCAGTAAGGAGGGTAGATCTAGACGGGTTGAAAGTTCCCGCATAGTGATTTGTCTTACTTGCAGCTCGATCATCGAGGGCGGACCCTGGCTTTTGCATCGACTTGTCGATGCTTCGACCTGCAGATGGGTTGACGANATGCACCACAAAGGTTGCCTGTGTCGCAGTCTGCTCGATCGTGACTCCCCAGTACACGACCGATTGACTCTCGATATAGATCAGGCAGCATTCTTTCATCTGCTGACAACCCTTGCGTTGTCAACCACGACAAAACTCCCTTGCCTTTCGCTTCCTCCAAGCGGATCAACGCCCTCTTCTTTGGCGTTTCCTCGCCTACTACTTTCTGCAAGTCTGTCTCCACCATGTGGCGCACTGCTGCATGAAGAGGTTTCGAAAGGAGAGCTTGGGCTCCAAAGACTTGGTAGTGTTGACCAAATTCATTTCGGCTGAAGGTAGACGGTGGTTGATGTTCTACGTCAGGGTTTCCATCTTCACGGGGTTTTCCCGCCTTCCCTGCTTCCAACAAGTAAACTCCTTTGAGGGCGGGGATTAACTCATCACTTGTGGCTTTAGCCCATGACTGCCCAACAGCTTTTTCAACTTGTCTTTGGTGATGATTTCCTCTAGCTTCTTGAGTGAGTCAATCAGAGCCAATCCTGTCGGTAGCTGGGCAAGCCGGGGTAGACATTGCTCAACTGTGTATCCTGTCGATGCTTGCACTGACTTGGAGAACACCAGCGCTTGCC